AAGAAGGACATTATCGCAGGACAATCATCAGGCACCAGGACAGTAAAGAAACCGCGGGTATCCAATCACACCAACAACGACAACACTCGCAACTACAGGAACATCAAGAAGAATCGCAACGAGTCCAGACTCCGCCGGGTCAAACATCGCAACCTCCGCGGAGAATACTTCGACAATCTGGATTAGAGTCAAACCTCAGATCATTCCATAATCCAAGGTTTGAGGGGGAGTGTTGGAAATATAGAACGTTTATATTTACATATGCATGCCACATCTTAGAATATCTCTTGACCCGCTCGTATCATTTCGTTTAACCCACTTACTTACACAAAGCCACAGTTATTTCTATCGCGTCTATACTTGTACTTTTAGGTTTATCTTTCATCCCTACTCATGTATAAAACCTAGACAGAAAACCTTACAATAATCATAGACTTGGTTTACACATCTATCTCAACCCCTCTGGTCATCAGCTATCGTTTATATCGCGCTTACCTGCGCTATCGCTGCTAACAGAGTTCAATCTAAAACTCTGACACGAGTCAGTGCTAGTACTCTATTGATAGCATGTACCAAACTATTTCGAGGCCTGGAGGCAACTAGAACATCAGGTACAGTACTAGCCCCTCCCGCTTGACCACAACAAAGTCTTCAGAGTTAGTGGCAGAGCACGGCACGCCGATTAGTACGCACTACATCAATAAGTGACATCAGTTGCCGAACTCGGTGACCTCTATATGTTGGATGCCCATTCGGCACATGTGGGTGGTGCTGATTGGATAAAATATAGTCAGTAGATGAAAGTGACATTAAGTTCTGCCGAGTGTCCTTGTGGGGCCACAGCTGTCACGGTAACCTATGGCTTCGAGATTGGAGCCCACATACACTGGAGTTCCATCGACCATAGTGAAGGGTGTTCAATGTTCATGCACTGAGAGAAAGAGATCTTGATGTGCACTTCAGCTAGTTCACCTTAGTTTTGGGATTTCAAGCGAAGTGAGCCTCTGTGAGCTTTCCCACGCTCCATGTTACCTAAAATAGGCAATTTTTGCCATCGCACGCTTGCAGCCGGCCCACCGTTACGCAGTACAACTTGATACTACAAGGGCGGGATTCACACCACTACAATGACCTTGATTATCCAAACTATACGTAGTGAGTGCATTAGGTGAAAGTGAAAGCAGGCCAGTCGAGTGCTGATTAGTATTGAACTGATAAGGTTTAGACAGAGTCCAAGAACATACGAATGCTGCATTGTTTGGAAAGGCCAAGCACGGCTATTGCCAATGCTTCTGCGATCATTCCATTCCATTTTCTCATTTTCAGCATCCTCAATGCTTCATCTCTCGTGTTCCAGTACCGTATCCAACCTTCCTATCAAATGAACCTCTTGCTATGATCCAGTAAATTATTCCTCTTCGGCCATCGGCTGACCGGGGGAGCGGTTTTCAGACTGTAGACAGTGTTTTCTGCGTTGTCTCTGTCTTACCCAGATTCGCACGAACAAGTAGCAAGGTCGGAGCGAATGCCTGCTAAAATGATGAGTGATTCAATAACGCCGGGCAATGTGAGTACTTGCAGCACTAAGCGGGATCAAGAAGTATAAATTTTAACGCGCGTCCGGGTATGTAGTCTCAACAATGTTGCTGATGATTACACCCAGCGGGTATATTATCCCAGATTCCAATCTAGACGCATGTCGTGAGCCTTACGATGTCTATCATCTAATCCGCAACAACTCACAACATCCTGGACACCATTACGAGAGCCGTATCTCTCGGGAAAATGGCGTCATGGTATAATTTCCGAACTTGTCGATGAACCCACCAAATTCGGCAAGCTAGAATTTGAATGCATAATTAGTCGGCGACGAAGAGCAAGTTATATCGACTTACCGGTAAGAAAGGTGAGCATAATATTCGAAGACTACACTGGAGTATTGGTATGCTACTACACATGTATTCCAAATTTCGAGTCATTTGACTGCCATGGCATCCCTTGTCCCTTCAATCAAACTCACATCAGCATCTATCAGGATGATGCCACTGACTGTACCCAGTGGATCGAAACCGAGCAGGGAAAAGAAAAGGAAAAGAAATTACTGTTTACGAGAGCAGAACCGACAGCAAGGAACATAACGACGAGTTTTCTTGAACCCCATATGACGGCAAACCTGGGAACCTGATAAGGTTGTGTTATTATTGTATGCTACACAAGCAACTTACAACAATGGCACCTGGCTGTCAGAAGGCCCCATACAATGTACGTAGCAAAACTTACTTGAGAAAGACGCGTGATACTTGTGCCAATGCCAAGACACCGATAGACGTTAGAAAATTGTAGCGATGTGGCTTCGACTTACTCAAGTGCGCGATCTCTTGCACCAATCATCACCGCATCATTGGCCCCAAGCTGATGAGGACAACCGTCATCGAAAGTAAGAACAGCTGATACAGCGATCTATTGGTATCTCTCACCGGGTGGCGTTGGCGGGTTATGTACACGTAGTGTACAAACAATGAGGTGTAGAGCCCTGTCAAATATGAGCTACGTCTTTGCAGCAAACAGCAACAATGTACCATATACATAGAACGTAACCTGGAGGAGACATTCATATTATGCCGTGAGCGAAACAGAAAATAGCCTACTTACCGACAAGGAGGCAATGGTCGCAGTAGTCGATTTTCGACACATGCTAGACCAGGTTGAATTATTCTCTAGGAATCTAGTGCGTCTTGACAATTTATGAGCTCGTTTCCATAGCCCCGAGAGCGTTTTGACAAGGAGAAAACATCCGACCGCTCACCGTAGTTATATTGACATTGTTCTACGCGTTTTGGACTTCCATTTGATCTTTAATGCCAGCCTCCATCTCGTACGAGTGATCATGTTGGAGTCTTGGAGACCTTCTAGAACCAAAGCCGTCAGCACAGCAAATGTCAAGACAATGCCAGGAACAGGCAGATGCAGACTGGATACGTTGATGATCATGGTTTCGGAGAAAGACGTTACAATTTACCCACGCCTCATGATCCCGAATCATCACAAGTGTGATGGATCGGTGCATCAACACTTCAACAGGGTCTTCCGGAGATTCTGGGTACTTCAATGCGAATACCGCGAGAACCAGAAGAGACGGAGAGTGTATAGTTATGATAATGAGATTTAAATAATTATATTCTATTATACTAGGGAATGGGAATCACTGCCTCACTGCGTCCCTATCCCTCCGGTCCAGTCTATTCGGAGAGCGTATGTACCTACCAGCCTTGTGAGTATATCTCCAAGAGAAGGTAGGTTACACCGCTGCTACAGTGAGACCGTAACCTAAGGAACCGCCTCTCAGGGGCCCAACATATCGGAACTGGATGCAGCCAGTGGATGCCTTGAGGCTTGAATGTTGAAATGCCGAATGCCGAGTGGAGGCCAACCCTACCGTGCTGATATATTCGAGTTAGCTGCACTCGTTAATGACTGTTGCGTGTTTGATCCTCGACGAGAAAGTGCTTACAATGGAACGACTATTGCTGCAAGCCTCGATAATCGGGGTCCGACTCAGAGCCCCGGTACTTTCACTGCTTGGTGCATACACTGCCTGCGGAGGTCGCAGGGTCTGATTTTCAATATGGGCTCATACAGCTCCAGTTGTTACCCGTTAAGTTTGCTCAGACGTGCGTTAGTTGCAGTACTTGGCGCCCAGTTTAGCGCCAGAGAAGCACGCGACCCGGTGATGTCACATCCGACAGCCGAATTTGCGCTTTTCTTCCCTCGGCCATGTCAGATAAGAAGCTCGACAAACCCATTCCCTCCCTTCTCTTTCTCATCCCCAACACTCTAAAAGAGTCTCACATTGAAGAATAAACATGACCTCCGGCCCCAAACCCATCAAAATCCTATTCAAACAAGCCGATGGCATTGACATATACATGGATGTCTATGTCCCCGACTCTGCGACGAAGGAGAAGCCAGCGCCTATTATCCTATGGTGGCACGGTGGTGGACTGTTACAGGGTACACGGAAGGGTGCGTCCTTCGATTTTGCTCATTTCGCCCGAATTTTACGTAGGATTAACCAGGAGTATCACCACACCACCTTCGCGCGCCAAGTACCCATAACATCTGCGTCATCTCCGCCGATTACCGTCTAGCTCCTCAGTTCAGGTTCCCAGCTATTCTGTCTGACTGTCTGGATGCCATGAAGTACCTCAGTACATCGGCCTTCCTCGAACACCCGCAGATCTCACACCGTGTCGATCCCAGCAAAGTCATCGTTTCGGGTTCCTCAGCCGGAGGCTGGCTATCTCTTCTCTGTGGACTCGGTATCGGGTTCTCTGCCTCTGGATTACCGAACCCACCAAAGGTTCAAGGTATCGCGGCGATATACCCGATAACAGACCTCGAGGATCCATTTTGGAAGACGAAGCAGCGGCCGGTTAGTTACATGGACAGGGTTATCACGAAGGAGGATGTAGAACCGTTCATTGACCCGAAAGATGAAGGAAGTAGGTGCTCAGGCGCACCCGTGGATGGGAGGCGAGCAATCTTCTATCATTATATGGTCCAGGAGTGCGTGTCCCTTTCGTTCTTGGTTCTCTTGTGCTCTAGTTACTAACATATTTTTAGAGCCCTCGAAGAATCGCTTCTCCTTGACACGACTGGTATCCCACCAACAGCGTATAGCGTTGCACCAGCGATCAGGAAGATGAAGAAAGAAGACATTCCTCCAGTTTACGTTGTTCACGGCGATATTGACGACAAGGTGCCGGTTTCACAGGCAAGGGACGTGGTGGCGGCATTGAAGGATATCGGTGTGGAATCCGACTACGAAGAGCTTCCAGGTGTGAATCACGGGTATGATAAGGAAGAGAGTATTCAGATGGATAGGATGTACGCGTTTGTGAAGAGGGTTTTTGGGGTCTAGTGGTACGGCATTGATCTATGTATGGAAGCGATAGAGAAGCTATTAATAATTAAGTGAATGTAAAAAAGTTGCATATCAATGGACACACTGGGAAATTGAACCCAGCACCCCCCGCAAGCTTGTGGATCCAATGCTTCTCCTATGCTAAGCGGATGTGATAACCAACTACACCATGTGCCCATGAATTCTTGAGTGTCAAATGGTCTCCCTCAAGTTGGGCCTGAAGTGACCGCAACGAAACAACTTTTCCCGAGCTTGAGTGTGGTGAGCCGTGAACCCTTAAATTAAAGCCTTTGCTAGCTGCTGATTTTTGTGTTAGGGTGTGGCCGCCGACTTTGCTTATGATTCGAGAATCGAGTAAGACTCAGTCGTAAGACCGCAGTTCTGCAAGAAAGACTCTGAAATTTGTTTCAACAGCCAAGCTGCCAGTTGAGCAGATAACTCCACGGTATCTCGCAAAGTTGGGCGTCCATATGCAGCCGAAGGACGGGCTGAAATAACGGTATCAGTTTGAGTAGGCACCAACTTGGAACCCTTATATCGCCGGGAAGTGCTGATATGCAATTTGAGCCCTGCATACTTAAACCACTTTATGAATGAGGGTCGATACAAACGTACATGTTCCTCGAATTATACATGTGTTCATGCATATCCATCTTTACCGGGAACGACTCCATACGCTGCACCTCCCTTCCCAAACATATTTCTCAAATCTTCTACGAGCTCATCTGGTTTCTCGTGTGCAGCAAAGTGACCGCCGGCTTCATGATAAGACTTGAAAACGATGTTTTTGTCGGTGTACCACCTTGACCCAAGTCAGTCGAGCCTCAAGGACGCTAGAAGGACCCAAGTGACTTACGATTTCGGCCCTTGCGCCTCTTTAGGGAAGAACGAATACCCAAGTGGAATCGACGGTGTGGGGAGATTAGCAAAAGCGCCACCAGCTTGCGCAGCCTCGTAATAGATGCGAATCGATGCAGTGGGTCCAGCACGAGAAAACCAAAAGATAGATATCCATGTCAACACTGAAGGCAGTCACTCAGGATCGATCGGGTCTCAAAAAGAAAAGATTCCAACGAACCTTCGTCATCATCCCAGGGATACGAGTCTGACCAGACAACCAGCTTCTCGTAAATCCATGCTAGTAACCCTACTGGTGAGTCTGCGAGACTATATCCTAGTGTTTGTGGTTGCGTAGACTGTTGCTGGAAATATCCGGTTCCTTTTTCCTGGCGCAACTTTCCTCGTTCGAGGACCTTGAGGTCGGCTTCATCGTAATCTGCTGGGTTGGCATCTGGGGGAGGAAGGATGAAGCTATGGATCTTCATTAGAAGGAGACGACATAGTGGTAGAGTGACCTTAACATACGGCATATTGGAGTGCCACGCCTTGATATATGCACCTCCATACATCGCGGCCATATACCGGGTTATCTAGGAAGACTATCAGACAGGGCACAAAAAACCCATATCGGGACGTACAAAGGAGCCCCAATCGCCACCTTGAGTGACTATGGAGCAGGGACGTAAGTTAAAAGAAGCAGCATAATAGGGATGACTCACCGTACTCTGAGTAACCGAGCAATTGCATGAGCTTATGACCAACCTATGCAAAAGCAAAGGTCAGTCGTGTCCCGTATGATTACTCGGTATTTACCTCGGCATATTTCGTTAAGTCGAAGCCTTTCTTCTTTGCACCTTCTGAGAACCCATAGCCAGGCATCCCTAGCGCGACTACGTCGAAACTCGGTTTGCCGGGTACTTCTGCAGTCAGAAGGGGCAGAATCTTTCGTACTTCAATAAAGCTTCCGGGCCCTAATCATCGTAGCACGTCAGTTCACGGCACTGAAAGAATCAATGAATGGTAACTCACACCCATGAATGAACAACAAAGGGATAGCATTCTTGACTGTACTCTTCTTATACACGTAGTGTATGTTCAACGCACCCTGCCCTTCCACATCGATATCCCTTGTGAATTGGGGCAGTTCCTCGTTCAATGCCCTCTCGTGCTTACGCCAGTCATATCCGTCCTTCCACCGAGTGACGAGTCGACGGATATCCGACACGGGAGCACCGTAATCCCATCCAGCGTCCTCGATTTCGTCAGGAAGGCGAGTGAGCTCGAGCTTCTTCTTCAAGAGGTCGAGCGCTTCGTCGGAAATAGCAATCTTGAAGGAGGCCATTGTTAATCGAGTGAAAGGACCTCGAATGGTTATAAATGTGGGCACCACACCGAATGGACTCATACATGTTGACACATTGTCCACCGGCGCGGGATCTGGTATGTAGCTATTAGTATTCAATCAATTATAATTGCTTCTGTTGTCAATTCAGATTACTGCGGTGAGAAATAAGAGCGACGTACCGTCACGAGAATGGTGTTGAACATAGTAGCCCTCGTAATACAACGGGCATAGCACCTGCCAAGACCCCTGAACTGACTCACTGCGCTTCGAAAAGACGCAACCGAGCTTTACAGCATGAAGTGAGAGCCAATGTCAGTGCCCAAACAGAGCATAATCTTCCGCACTCAGTATCCGGAGCCACATTGAAGGCGAAGAATGCCTGATCTATGAATTGAGGGGCATAAGCAAACTAGTCACCGGAAAAACGGGCGAAAGAAAGAAACACACATTCACGTATTTTGAATGCCTCGTACGAGTCAGTGAGCGAAAGTCTGATCTGCATGCAGGTATGCGAAGCACCGGATGACAGCAATTATGAAATACAACCATTGAATGCGGCTCTGAGTACCCAAGTTCATCAAGGTCTGACCACCGCATCTAGGTTGATACAACTGTGCACATTCCTTTTGAATCGATATACATTTCCCCAAATTGAGGACTGTTAGGCGTAGCCATCTTTCCCGGGCACGACCCCAAATGCAGGGCCGCCCTTTCCGAACATATTCCTCAGATCTTCTACGAGCTCATTCGGCTTCTCGTGTGCAGCGAAATGACCACCCGACTTGTGGTGAGACTGGAAGACGATGTTCTTGTCGGTGTACCACCTAATACCTCGTCAGATACAGCAACACAACAGGAATCTGATCAACTTGCGGTTTGGGTCCCCTTCCTATCTCTTTAGGGAAGAACGAGTATCCCGTAGGGACTGATGGTGTGGGGATGTTGGCGAATTCACCAGCTTGCGCATTCTCGTAATAGCCGCGGACTGATGCAGCTGGTCCTGCGCGGGAGAACCAGTAGATGGATATCCAGGTCAAGACTAAAAGCAACAATGCTGAGCCTTCTAGAATAGGTGCTCGAAGATAAATCTGCGAACCTTCGTCATCTTCCCAAGGATATGAGTCTGTCCAAACAACAAGCTTCTCATAAATCCACGCGAGAAGCCCAGCAGGCGAGTCGGCGAGACTGTAGCCTAATGTCTGTGGTTGGGTGGATTGTTCCTGGAAATAACCGTTCCCCTTCTCTTGGAACCATTTAGTCCTTTCGAGGACCTTGAGATCCTCTTCGTCATACGCCGCTGGGTCGACGTTTGAGGGAGGGAGGACCACCCTGTGGAATGTTCCATGAGGACAGAAATGGGTGAGAGAATGACCAAAACGCACGGCATATTGGAATGCCAAGCCTTGACATGCTGGCCCCCATACACTGAGGCCATCATCCGAGTGATCTATAGACTGATCAGGAGCGAGCATAGACAGTTGGAATCAAAACATACGAAGGCACCCCAATCTCCGCCTTGAGTTACTGTGCAACAACAATGTAAGGAAAGCATAACATGGTAGTCAATGCCACACACCATACGCTGAGTAACCGAGCGGATTGCATCAGCTTGTGGCCAACCTTCAGGAGATAAGAGGTCAGTTGTGGATATATACAGCGTTTATGGAGGCTCACTTCGGCATATTTCGACAAGTCGAAGCCCATTTTCTTTGTGCCTTCTGAAAACCCGTATCCCGGCATCCCCAGGGCGACGACGTCAAAGCTCGGCTTGCCAGGTTCATCTGCAGTCAGGAGAGGCAGGACCTTCCGCACCTCAATGAAACTACCGGGCCCTAGTCAAGGCAACACGTCAGTCTACGAGCAAAAAGGGGAGGAAGTGGTAGCGTACACCCATGTACGAATAGAAGAGGTATAGCATTCTTCACTGAGCTCTTCTTATAGATGTAGTGTATGTTCAGTACACCATGGCCTTCGACCTCGATATCTCTGGTAAACTGGGGGAGTTCTTCGTTTAGCGCCTTCTCGTGCTTTCTCCAATCGTATCCATCTTTCCACCGAGCGACTAGGCGACGGATATCTGCGAGAGGAGCGCCATAGTCCCATCCAGCATCCTCGATTTCGTCAGGAAGGCAAGTTAGCTCGAGCTTCTTCTTCAAGAGGTCGAGCGCTTCGTCAGAAATAGCAATCTTGAAGGAGGCCATTGATGATCGAGTGAAGGAACCTTGAATGGTTATAAATGTGGGCACGACCCCGAATGGGCTCATACATGTTGACACATTGTCCACCGGCACGGGACGTGGTATGTAGCTATTAGTATCAAATTAATTAGAATCGCGTTTATTGTCAATTCAGATTACTGTAATGAGAAATAAGAGCGACGTACCATCACAAGAATGGTGTCGAACATAGTAGCCATCGCAATGTGACGAGAGGCATAGCACCTGCCAAGACCCCTGGACTGACTCACTGCGCTTCGAAAAGACGCAACCGAGCTTTACAGCATGAAGTGAGAACCAGTGTCAGTGCCTCAAACACGCACACGTGAACATAATTTTCTGCACTCAATATGCGGAGCCACATTGAATGGCGAAGGATGACTGGTCTATGAATTGAGGAGCATAAGCAAACTAGTCACCGGAAAAACGGGCGAAAAAAAGAAACACACATTCACGTATTTTGAATGCCTCGTACGAGTCAGTGAGCGAAAGTCTGATCTGCATGCAGGTATGCGAAGCACCGGGTGCCAGGAATTATGAAATACAACCATTGAACGCAGCTCTGAGTACTCAAATTACTTGAGGTCTGATCACCGCATCTAGGTTGATACAACTGTGCACATTCCTTTTGAATCGATATACATTTCCCAAAATTGAGGCCTGTTAGGCGTAGCCATCTTTCCCGGGCACGACCCCAAATGCAGGGCCGCCCTTCCCAAACATATTCCTCAGATCTTCTACGAGCTCATTCGGCTTCTCGTGTGCAGCGAAATGAC